GTGGTGCGCGTTGCCATTTATTTGTTTTAGCACAATGACCCCTCTGGTCACATACGACTTTGCAAATTCAAATTTAGCCCCCTCCCCCCACGGCCCTGTGAAAACTTTTTGTGGACAAATTATCTCGGGAATCACGAAATTTAGGGTAACAACCCCCTGTCCACGTACAATCTTACAAGTTCAAATTCAACTGGACAAGGTTGCACAAAACGTATGATTGCACCTGGCACCCTGGTGTGAGCCGCTATTTATTTCACTTTGTTTTTCTTCCCTTCTTTTTCCATTTCACCATTTCCTACCTTATCCTTCAATACGAGAAATCATGTCGCACAGTACCAGCCACCTTTAATTTTCATCCGCTCTAAAAGGCGGAAGTACGTGAAAGCAGCTGTCCGACTGGTACCAAGTGCCAACAACAATCAATCATCGGCAAGGCTGTCGATGGCTCCTCATTCGAGAGTTGCTTACAAGCAAGCTGATGGTGGCTTTGTCTCCCTGGTATATGTTTGCCAAGTACCAATTTTATCATTGAAATGAGTGAGCGTATCGTAAAAGAACTGGTTATTCCCCTGGTGAAGTCGAACCCTCAATCCTCTGTAGGAGTGCAACTGTACTTGGTACTGTACCATGCCTGTCAGAAAACGAGAAAATTCAGAAATTAGAGCCATCACCGCATAGAAAAATGTAGAAAAAATCAAAAACTGAGCTACAGAAGTGTACCAAGAAACTCGTGACATTTTGAAGTAGTTTATCGCATCACATGTTACATAAAAAACATATCTAACAAAAAAACATCCAGCAAAAAATATTTAACAAAAAATATCACAAAAAGAACCGACGTCGGCTTGTCTCCATTTCGTGTCTCTGAAAAAATCACAATTCATTGAAGGCCATTTCATACACAACACTTCATCTTTCTGTTTTCTCTTTCTCTCACATATCCGTCTTGCAAATTAGTTACATGGCTGTTCAGTATATGTAGGGTAGAAGGAGGCTGTACTGATGATTCCCGCTCCTACTCGGACGCATAATTCGGTCTGCGTTTACTACAGCTAAGGGATGAAACACGGACAGACTGCATTGTAAAATGTCTTCTTATACATGACACCTAAGTGCAATTCTTTTATTTTCCTATTCATATCCAGTCACAAATTACATCTAATTTCATTCTCACAGTGGCACCAACTCCTATAACTGAAGACGCTTCAACTGCCTTCATCTCTCACATAGGGCGAAGTACGAAAAAGAGGTTTGGCTGAGCGAGTATTTTTATCCGACAAAGAATAAATCCGAATATTTCACTAGATTTCTTATTCGCCAAATTCGCAACGCCCTGTATTCCTAATTTTCGAAATTTTTCTACCCCCAAAAAAGATACCTTCAAGACCCATTCGTATTCGCCTTCTCGTGTGTTGAATACACCGCGTTGCAACCATTTTAATCGCAGTGTAAAACGTGGCCCAAGTTCGAGTAGGGCTGCTTTTTCACCGTCTTTTTTGAATTCGTATCTGCAACCTCAAGAGGATAACGAATCGGAAAAAAGTCAAAGTCGAAAGAAAAGGCTCAATCGTTGACAGAGCGGCAAAACTTCTCAAATAAATCACAATCAACAATTTAAGAAAAAAACGTTTAATTCAAAAAAAGAAAAAAAAAGAGACACCTGTGATGCCTGAAAAATATGTAATCGCGCTGATTATGGAATGTGACCACACGACGACCCGTATACATTGGCTTCTGTGGGAATAAACATGCGAACATTCGTGCAATCGTATGTCCCAGCCTTGTGTTGAAATTGTTTAACACTAATTCCGGGTAGTGCGTCGTGGATTCGCCCTTCCTCTGTAACACAGTTCGCAATTTCAACAACCCATTAAAGGTTGAAGAGAAAATAATGAAGTGGAAGAGAAGAGAAAGGGAAGAAAACGAAGAAAATGCAAAGTAACACGGGGGAAGGGGACCCATGTTTTCTCAGTCAAAAAGCCAAGTTTAGAATCTGGGCCGTTGTCAATAAATTCCTCTCCAATATAGACAGTTGGGTCAACAGCTAACAAATGCAGCCCTGAATTTTCGAGGAGAAGAGAGGAGAAAATCAAAGTATTTGAAGGGACGACAAAAAACAAAGATTTTTGTGAAAAAAATTACGAAAAAATTAATTGTGCGGAAAAAAATTATTAACAGAAACAAATTTATTTCTCAC